GAGCAGGGCTGAAGCTCCGTTCTTGAGTCCAGGCTGCTGTGACCAGGTTGATCCCCCTCCACCTGCGGCCTGTGAGACCTGGACCATTGAGTGAGGCTCAAGCAAGCTTCCCTCCGGGCAGGGGTGTCTTGTTTATAGCGAATGCGATTGGAAAGGAAAGGAAAGAACCTAGAAGTATCCGTTGAAACGCTCGGGCCCAGGGTTTTAATTGAAAACGATTTTTAAATGCCAGAATTATAAATTCTTGTAACAAAAGCCTTTGCTTCGTCCCCAGGATTGGCAGCCACCGTTTGCATGTGATGTCGACAAGCTCCACTTCACGCCCCGGATCCAGAGGCTGAACGAGTTGGAGGTGCTGTCTTCACTGCTGTGCTGGGTCCTGGGTCCTGGGGGGAGGAGGGAGCCCCTGCCAGAGGCCCCCCCACAGGGCTAGTGGTTTTAGTGAAACTGAAGTATGGCCAAATCACCGAAAATCATGGTCAAGAAAGTGGCAACGAGGCCTTTACAGCAAATCCATTTTCATTGAAAACACCGATTTTTGTCCCTGGCTGGCCGATTCTTTCATTGAATCCACATTTGGTGGCAACCCCTCGAATTTGGGTTTTGAAGGAATGTCCTTTGAGAACCATCTAAAGGGAGAGACCTTCAGCTCTGGCTTCCTTCCAAATGCATATCTCACCCCAGTTTGCTAGCACATTGTTTCCCGAGGAGTGAGCAGGGGGCTCTAGAGAGGAGCAGTGTGTCTCAGCGCCGTCTGCTGGGACCCTCACTGCCGGGCGCGCAGGGCTTGGGGTGGGAACGGAGGAGGCGGGGTGTTCACCGTCATGGTTTGCTGACCTGGTTCTTTTTCTTTTTTTTTAAATATACTTTATTGATTTTTTACAGAGAGGAAGGGAGAGGGATAGAGAGAAACATCGATCAGCTGCCTCCTGCAAATCTCCTACTGGGGATGTGCCCGCAACCAAGGTACATGCCCTTGACCGGAATCGAACCTGGGACCCTTCAGTCCGCAGGCCGACGCTCTATCCACTGAGCAAAACCAGTTTCAGCCTTTCTTTCTTTGTAAAAATTATTTTTATTGGACTCACCACAGCAGCTGGCAAGCGGCCAGGGCTGGGGCGGGGCGGGGGGATCTGCAGGGAGGGCAGCATGGGGAGGTGGGGAGGCTTAGCCCCACAGAGTCTCAGGGAGGAGACGCTGGGACGGGGTCCCCCAAGGGCCGCAGCACGAGTGTGGGGAGCGGGGTGAAGTCCTGCCCTCTGCAGTGTGCAGTCCTGGGGGAGGAGCTGTGGGTCCACCAAAGGAAACCTCGCCAAGGGAGTGAGGAGCCTGAAGGGGAAGCTCTCAGGCTGTATCTGGAGGTCAACCGCAGACCCCAACGGGCAGAGGCCTCACGTCTCCACAGGAAGTATCTCTGCTACTCCAGCCCGAGGAAGATTTTCTCCTGGCCTGGAAATAGACCAGCCAATGAGGAACCTCCAGGACTCAGCCAATAGGTAGCGAGAACAGAGTGGAGAAACGGAGTCACTGGTTAAGCTGCTCAATTGCTTAAATCAGAGGCCCAGGGCACAATCTACTCTCGTTTAAACTGTCGGGGAACTTGAACGTTTGAAGTCTCCAGTTATGCTAGGAAACCTATATCTGTCTATCTATCTATCATCCATCCATGCTTCTTATAGATAAATAACCCTCTGATTACCTCCTGAAGGTTTTGGTGTTGTAGGTAGTGGGAACGGCACTGGGTGTCAGCCTGGTAGGGTCAGACTGGACCGGGGAAGTTCAGCAACCCCGCTCCTTGAATTCTGGCTGAGAAAGAATTCAGAGCCAAGCCTCAAACTGTAAGACAACACTCATTTGTAAAATCAAAGGTGGCAGAAGTAATTTGCAGAAGAAATGGGCTGAGTTACAGAGGCAAAGGAAGGGCCCCTGGAGCTGGGGAGTGAGGAAGGTGATGGTGATGGTGGTGGAGGTGGTGCTAGTGATGATGTTGGTGATGGTGGTGGAGGCGGTGATGGAGGAGATGTTGGTGGTGATGGTGGTGACGGTGTTGGAGATGTTGGTGGTGATGGTGATGATGGTAATGGTGGAGGTGTTGGTGGTGGTGGAGGTGGTGGTGGCAGCGAACGAACAGGGGAAGCTCTGGGCCTCCGTCCTGAGGGTTGGGGAGAGTGGGGAGGCCCCAGGGGAGGTCTTAGCAGGACAGTCAGCAGCTGCAGGCGTGTCCTCTTGGGGTCTCGGTCTCCGCTGATGGGTGGGTCGGAGCCAGGACAGGACGGTGGGCGGGAGGGGGAAGCGGAGGGGGAAAGGTGCCGGCCCGCCCAGCGGCCACAGGAGCCACAGGAGCCCAGCAGCTCATACCCAGCTGTTTCCCGCATCCCTGGTGCTGACCAGCCTCATCAGACTGTCCTGGGCCTGCATGCACCCTTCCCCTCCGGCCCCTCCGCTGCCCCTTGGCTGCTGGAACGGCCCTCGCACCACCCTGGCCTGATGCCTCGGGACCCCCAGGGGACAGTGGCCACACTAGCTAACTCAGGCTCCCGGCCCAGCCGCCCCACCCCCAGGCCTAGAACTGTGGGTGCTCACTCCCCCCTCCCCGCTCCCCCTGCACTTCCCACCTGCCACACAGATGTTAAATCCTTTCCACCCCCTTCCTGAACCACCTTCCCCCCATGAAGGGCCCGGACAACTCCCGGCTGGGCTCCGGGCCTGCCCACTCCTGTGCTGGGCCCTTTTGGAGCTGTGCCCAGCCACCAGCCCCT